GCAGACCCCCACTCCAATACCAAATGGTCCCGCAATGATTCAACGGTTCACATGTGGCATGTGTAACATGAGCTGTCATTACACCCAGCAAGGTGTGGGTAACCTCTGGTCATGAGTCATAACTGCGAAACACCTCCTACCAAAACATTGTACCAGGACACGTGGCAAGCCATTCCGCCAGGAGCTTTACCTGGTCAGGACCTCCGCCCAGGCTGACAGCCATGAGAGGTGTTGCAGTCTGTCCATCATATGTCGTAGCAAAAGGGCATCTCTCAACATCTCTCGAAACAAAGACAACCACTGCCCTTGGCCATCAGATTCTCGAGATTTCAGATACAAAAAAAATGCAAAATAGGCTTGAGTTGCCATCTTGCCCCCTTGCTTTTGGAAGCGGCAGTGGTCGCCTTGACTTTCCACAAGCTCATGCTTCAACAGCGCCATGGCATCTGGACGCCTCAACGTGGCGTGTAGCTTTCACACAAAATACATCTGTGTCATAGCGTTGGGAAGCTCGCATGGATGGTATCGTTCACTTTCCCTGGTTGCTGGACAAAGAAACAAAAAAGAAATGCTGCTGCCGCATCTGGCTCTACTCCACTTGTAGGACGTCTAGGAACACCTTCAAAGGTCTCAATACCTGGCACCTGGTTGTTCCTTCCAAACGAAAACCCACCAAGCAGGTAGCAGCTAGCAACCTCAAAAAGTGCAAAAGGCAATCTCGTCAGATTGGGATGTCGCCTTTTCTGTGGTCTCTTCGGGGCACCCGGCTTCGTGTCGTCTCTTCTCAAGCACTGTGCCACGAAGTCGCAAAGAGCTTGAGGGAACTTTCCCGGATCCAAACGAGGCCTAAAGGATGGTTGGACAGGATAGGATGGTGATAAGACATGCTCAAACTGACAGGATGATTAGATTATAGATGTGAACATCACGTATACATAAAGTTGTGTTTCAGCTCATCGATCCTCACAAAGCCAGCCCATATATTTAAATCAGTTACACAATCACATATGAAGTCAATATGTTGTCTCGTGGCTTGACCGGTCCAACTTATCCACTAGTTATATAACAGCCTAGCAGCTAAGAGCCATGGCTGATCGAAACAAACGTCCCATACTATGCTCGGTAGCAGGCTCTGGCTGGGCACAGAGGCACTGGCACGAGGCGCAAGGCAGGCACAGATTTTGGGGGGTTCATACGGATCCATTGGGCCCGATCTGCGGGTTTTCATGGCACCAATGGAAGACCAAAAAAAAAAAAATTGACGCTACTAGGAGCTCCTGGCCTTACTTCTAGGAGCAAGTGTGTGACCCCAGAATTGGTCCACCTCGTAGAGGTCTAGGAAGTTCTTCGCCTCGTAGGGGTACCTTCAGGAGTGAGTTCCAAAAGGGCATCATGTGAAAGGCCGGATTTTTGTTGACAGGCCTTCCTCGTTCGATCTTGCTTCTTCGGTCTGCGAACTTGTGTTGGCTTGTTGAGGAATATCCAACAGTTCAATCTTTGCTTCGAAGACAGTTTAAAGTTGCTGCAAGTGTCACCAGCCAGTGCTTCTGGATTGCTTTGCAATGGCACTTTCCGTTGGCCATTTCGAGAACCACCATTCCAGCACTCCAGACCTCAGAAAAGTCTCTGTTAGCCTGTAAACTTTAGCTGTATATAATGGGTAAAGTCTGGGAACGCATGGACAGCAGTGGTGGCCAAGCCCAAAAGGTCAACATATCATGACAATTCACCACGTGTGTGTCAAAATTGCCACCCCTTTCCTCAGGAGCTGACATCTGACCTGACACAAGTGAAAAGAATCCGGACAAAATTTACGCGTTACGCCTCGAGTTGGGCGGACCTGCAGAACGCAACAGGTCATCCCGTCCATTGAATTCATTTGTTGCACAAACAAACACCTCTACAATCTGGACCTTTGATACAACAAGCCCTAGCCATTTCAATCAGGTTTCACACAAAACTTCACCGCAACAGTCCAATGGAGGCTGTGCCTGAAGGAATAGTCCTGCAGCCAGGCTTAGTTCAACAAAGCAGGTCTGCTACATGGAAAATGCATGTGTAAAGGCAAGGACAGCACGAGTCAAAACTCTGCACTGGGTCAAACCTGCTCAGCTTCACTCCGGAGTAAGGCTTGCTCTCCGCTGAGGAGGTCCATCATTGAAGCGGAATGCATGAGAGTTTGGAGGCCGGAATCTCTCATCCATGGATTATGTCGATTGTGCCGAGAAGAAAACGATAAAATTCTTCCAAACCTTCGCGGAGAGTCTCGGTGAAGTTGGTGTGTCCTTCCCAAGCGCTCGCTCAGGCGACATGTAGTTGGCAGTGCCGACAAAGCTTGCAGCAACACCAGCTGTAGAGGTCAAATCCTGCGGGGCAAAAGAGGCGAAATGCATTTTCGCAGGTGCCGCTCCTTTTTCCGAAGAAACATGTCATGTGCGAAGTAAAGATAGGTGAATGGATTTGCCTTTTGCTGCGAATACACAAACAAGTTCAAACAAGGAATCTAGGTGATCTGAAGAGAACAAAACTAACCAGATCTTAACAGACTTTTGCAAGTTGACGCTTGGTTTGTAAAATGCCTTTTGTGGCCCAAGCAAGCAAGACATAGAGCCCTAAGACCAGCAATGAAAAAAAAACTGTTGAAACGAGAGCCTTCCCCCTTTGGCCCAGCTCTTCACTACATAGCACAGCTGCGGCCTTTGAAATGCCAAAGTCGGTCAGCTTCACCTCAGCTGCGGTGGCCACAATGACCCTGATTCCTTCACAATGACCCTGATTCCTTCCATTCCTTTCACCATGTCTAACCAGTTAAAGACAGATCATAAGGTTTGGAGGCTTAAAGATCCTTAAAGATCCTTTACCACCTTTACCCACCATCAGCCGCACACTGGAATGTTCCACCCTGCAGTCTTATGGACACTTGGGTACCTGGCCTGGCCCAGGCTATTGTGCAGAACGTTTTCAGGCTTCACGTCTCGGTGAAGTAAACGCCTTGTGCAGTGCTATGTCTCTGAGGCCTTTACCAAGCAAACCACCTTTCGAAAGAGAAGTTTTCGAAGAAAGTGCTCTCTGTTTGTGCCTGCTTTGAAGATGTGCTAGCCCGCGAACAACTTGAGCAGCTACGCATGCCAGCTGTTCGGGCCTCAGGTAAGAGACACAACATAGGAGCATTCTTTGACAGAAGGATCCATGATAGCAGCATCCGGAAAAAAAGAGAAGGAAAAGAAAAGAAAACACAACGTCCACAGTCCTGTTCCAGCTCTCCAACTCCACTTGATCCTTTTGTTGTTCTCTAGGAGCTCGGCGGCACCGGGCCTGCACACCGCCTCAACCGGAAGAGAGCAACGGGATACGAGCCCTCAAGACGTCGTTCAAGAGGAAAGGAATAACATGATGTTAACAACACGGAACAACACACTGAAATCAACTCTAATAATGAATAACACACGACAGTAATAGACCATCTGCATCAGGTGCCCTGCCTTCTCAAATCTGCCAGGCTGCCTCTGTCCATGAGTTCTACAACCTTGGCACAGGACATCTGACACTCCGACAGCTCCACGGCCTCCGCTTTCGCGGCACCTGTATGAATCTGTGTATGTGTGGTACATATGGTTTCATGATGTTTAACGAGGATCCAGGATGCCAGGATCCATGAAAAATCATAAGAATGTCTCCTAAGACGCCGGCGACATGAACGAGGCCTGTGTCCTGAGCGCCAAAATAAGTACAACATCTACAGCATGGACTGAGGTTTCGGAAGCCTCCTCTGACTCTGCAAAACAACACACCCCAACATGAACACTCGCACTGCAGGATTCGCAGGTCCTTGCCGACAAAGCCTGCATACCACTGCACCAGGTATGGACAACCTGCAGCCTCAGTGGCTTCAGGATATGGCCATATCGCCAACTCAAGCATCCAGCAGCGGCTGGCAGCGTCAGGAACTGTCGAAACCTCTTAGGCCCTTGCGAGCACAAGCCCTTTGATCTCTTTCAGCATTTGTTCACGCTTCTCTTTGTGGTCAACCTTCACCTCCAAAGCCCCGCGAGGTGAAGGAACTGTGTGATGCTCCCACAAATTCTGCTGTCACATTCCTAAGTCGTTTATACAGCATGCATCGGGTTGACGTTACAATCTAGATCAATCTACTCCGCATGCATGTATATTCTTGTCCAAGTCCTGCTACCATAATCTTGGTCACAACAACCTCGTAGAACACTGCATGCTGGTGCAAGGAAGGTCCTTTCCAAGCACTGCAGTGTCTCCCCACCGTCTTGATTGCCACGCGCATGCCAGTGGGCTTGTGCACCCCAGCCTGGACCTGACATGATTGGGGTAAAGGCCACACCAAGATGCATATTGATTGCTAAGCCTTTTGTGAATAAGAAAGAACTTTAGCCGTGAGTAGTGGTGTGAAGAACCAGGAGCTCCGCCGATTGGTCAAGTTCAAGTTGTCTTTTGGTCATGTCAGTACCAAAAAGCAGCTGGCTATGTTATTGCAATTTGTTATTGCATCACGCAAGTAAGGCATCGACCACACCGCCGGCACCAGTGCCCAGGGTGCAACTTCTGTCCTGGCCGGGGCCATTCAATTATTCTGCACCGAGCACAACTCCATTCATGCTGAGCACAAGTCGACGACGTATGCTCGGTCGACGACGGCCCATTGGGAATTTACTCAGTAATGCCAGGAGCTACGTTCGTCTCGTCCTTGCTCCTAGTAGCGATGCCCTTTGTTCCTAGTAGCTTCTTGTTCCTAGTAGTAAGGCCAGGAGCTACTAGTAGCGTCCTTGTTACTAGTAGTTTAGTAGTAATGCACTTGTTACTAGTAGCGACGTAGTCACGTAGTCCGTTTTATCACGACAAAACCCCCACTGTCCAAGTCAATGTCTTGTGGGGACAGGCGATATTCTTGGCCATCAAGCACCACGCCCTTGTCTGGCGACACCTGGCCAAACTAAACTCTCTCGACACCAAAGCGAATAGGATCACTGCATGGCATAGTGTCGCAATCGAGTACTTTGTTTGAACAAAGACTGTATCAACAGATCATGGGCTGGAGAAAGACGTGCCAATGAGTGCCCGCATCCCTGAGGGATTGTGTCGCAGCGTGCCATCCTTGCAGGACATGAAGAACAGATTTAACAGTTATCCACACCGTCCACACTTATCATCACCTATCCATCAAAGGCCAAGCTGTGAGAAAGTTTCTTTGGGGGGTTGCAGACCTTTTCTCAGGGTTGCAATATCTAAGATGACCAAGCCGAGAACCCTGGTCCTCATCCACAGACCAAGTCAGTGACACTGACAACTCCTTCAGCTGAGAAAGCGGATCAACGTCTTTTTCCCAGCCCTGGTTGCACTTCTGGTTGTCTTCTTTGTCCCCTTTTCATCATCACTGTCGCAAACACTCTTCGCTTCGTGCCTCGTCAATCTCCAGCAGCGGCCTCGTTTCGACGACGGAAATAGGTTTCTGAGTTTACCGTCGGTACCTCCGGACACCAAAAAGGTGGTAGAAATGCGATCCGAAGGCTCGGCCACACTGGTCAGCCTACATGATCTCCAGAGTTGGTGTCAAACGTCAGCACGGGCAAATGTTGCTTCTAAGCTAGTGGCATAGATGCAGCCCAGAGTCAAACCTGTGGAACATGTGCGGACGCTACAAAAGCAAATTGCTTTGAGAACTAGAAGGAAGTCATTTCTTTGGGACATCTTCGAACGAAAGAAGCGGCCTCTGCGAATGGACTGCATGCCGTGTGCCCAAGGATACAAATGCATTGAGCACAAGATTCTGCTTGAGACACATGAATCACGTGAATGCATGTTGGCCGAAGCCCTGGCAGCCTGGCAAGCCCATACATGTTTTTATATATCAGAATGTACCCACGCAAGCGTGCCCAGTCCCACGGAATGTTGCCAATGATCTGAAAGTTCCCTGCGTTCTTTTCTTGCTCTGCAACTCATGTTTCGTCGTCAAGCTCTTCCCCATCCTCCTCCACAGGAGCCTCGAAGCAATCCAAAGCCACGGTCATGACCGAAAACACCACGTTGTAACATAAACATACAAGTATCTTGCTTAGGAGAGCAAAACAGCCCGTAACTAACAACTACGAATGCACAACTATTCTGCGATATTACGTGTTTTGCTCTGCCCGAATGCTTGAGTTTGATCAAAAAAATCAATTTAGTTTTTGCCTGACTACACTGAAACAGCACAAACAGCCGTTCAAGTTCAACAGTTTTCAACATCATTTCTCTCTCTCTCTCTCTCTCTCTCCGTCTCGCCTCCTGGGCTCCACCAGGCTGCGCTAAACGGCGTTCCCGGCCCTTGTCCATCGCCTGTGGAGAGGATCGATCCTATGGGCTGCGCTTATATAAATGTGTTTCTCAGAAGAATCTCATGGATTTGCATCATTGGAGACTAACTGCAACAGGCTTAATCCTGGAAAAAACTTGAATTGCCGGCGGTGCGCCAGTTGCATTGCATGGTTTACAAATCAGCTGTCCCGCGGAACATTGCACTAGACTAGGCAGCTATGGATCGCCTTCTTCATCACCTCGCGTTGCATCTCTGCATCCTGCGTGCACAGCTAGCGGGTTTACGAGTGTCAGCGCACGTTGGCCATTCAAATCCCAGCATCGGTTGCTACACCTGCCTCTCACAAGTTGCGAACTATTTTCGTTCAATTCATGCGCATGTTGCTCGATGTGATTATGCAGCCCCTCATCCTCTCCTGGCTCTGCTTTGAGACCACATGAACCGATATGGTGTACTTCCCTGAGCGGACGCGCTGATCAGTCTGCCTCTTGATGGCGCCAAAGATCACCGAATAGGTCCAAAACAAAAGAGGCAAAGGACTGATTCGAGCAGCCCGCATTGCAAAATTCAAGCACCCTGAAACATCAAAGCAGATCCGCCCAACAGAAGCAGAAAATGCGGCAAGCAGTGTGCGTGTGTGTGTGTGTGTGCCCCTTGTAGTCACAGGGGTTCTTTTGAATTGTGTTCTTTTACAATGAGCAGGGGGACAACCCCATGGATGCAGTTGGTTGTCCAACGAAGAGAAGAGGGCTGCATTCCACGGCTGATATGATCCTGGGACGCTGGGATCACGTACCTGCTTGGTTGTGATGTTTACAAGCTGCTACCATCATCTTCCACTACAGTGCTAGTGCGCTCCGCAGACTTGCACGGACCGTCGTCATCCCGTCGCTCCGACTCCGGCTTCTCATGCCTTTACGTGACCGCAGCGGTCAGAGGTGGCCGCCCTCGGGCAAGCCGTACGTGGTCGCAGCGACCAAAGCTTGTTCAAGGTTCATTGGAACCTGTCCCATTCTTAGGTGCACACACAGCGTTTACATGCAAACGAGGCGAGGTCTTCCTAGGTGTTTCTAATGAGGTTCGGCTTCATCGGTGCTCGTCCCCTCCATTTGGTTCCCTTTTCATCCTTTTTCCCCTTTTACACACCTTTGGTTTCCTCTTTTCTTTCATGTCCTCCTGTCTTCATGTCTGGTCATACGCATTTCTATAAGTGTGTGTGTGTGTGTCCACACCTGTACCGAAGGACACCACTCAATGCAAGTTAATTCGCTTCTCCGCGTTAACAGGCAGGGGGGCACTGAACACTTTGGAAGGCATTGCACAACGAAGACTCCTCCATTGTGTTGCGATATTCCCGAGGGACGCCTTGGGAACGTACCTGCGACTTCGCGCAAGCATTTTTGAAGTAAGCCATACTGTTTAGGCTGACCTTCTCACCTTCTGTTCTGCACATGGCCGTTGACAAGCTCAGGTTCCAGCGCTCTAGATCGGTATTGTATTCACTAGAGTGGATTGCCTTAACTGATTTAGCTCTTGCGAGCATCATTCTAAATGTGTGTGTGAAGCCCTTGGAGTCATAGGGCTTCCGTTGATGTTATGATTTTTAGCAGGGGCACTGAGCGCTCGTTGGCAAACTCAGTGCAACGAAACTATGCCTTCGGTGGGAAGCACGGATGGATCACCCGTGTGTACCCGAAGTTTTTACCGGAGCCATTCCCACTTTAGCTAAAATTCAGCTAAAACAAGAATTTCGGCCTTTGCACCGGTTTGCATCGGCAGTCACGCATTTGACTTTGGAGCTTTGCAACTTGGAGGGCTCTGGAGGCCTCATGGAGGGTTTCTTTTGGAACTTTGGCACGTTGGTGATTCGACTACCTGTTTTACCCAGGCAATTTTCTCACTTAGACTTCTTCAGGGCTTGTGGCGATCAGTTCCGTACGCAATATCTCGGGTGTATGTGTGTGTGTGTGTCACCCTTGAAATCAGAGGGAACCTTTTGGCTTTTGTTGTTGTAAGTTGTAATGTTTGCAGGAGGGGGATCACCGACGGACTTGACTGGCAATCCAACAAAGAGGGTCAAACTCCGTGCTGATATCTGCCCTGATAAGCCAGACGTACCTGCTGTGAATACCTTTCAATTCCATCTGGGCCCCTTTTGTCACTATAACATTTTGCCGGCCTTTGCAGCAGTTCCGAGCACGGCAGTCACGCAGCTTTGTTTGTCGTACTGGAACTGTTGACTTTGGAGCTTTTGGAGATGGTTGGACCGCATTGCATTGTACCTGTTTACAGACTTAGGCATGTTTTCACTTAGACTTCTGCTAGGCATTTGACAACCTTCGTACGAACTCTTGTCTTGAGTGTGTGTGGCAGATAACCACCACCACTCTGCCGTGCCTGCAGCGCTTTCAGGGTTGCGGAAAGCAATCCGCACTGGGACCTGGACGAGCGAGGCATGCTTTGCTCCTAGAGATCCTGATTATTTAATAGTGGAAAGAGCTTTGCCAGCTCAGGTGTCCTCAAAAACGGGACAGTGACATGAGCCCACATATGTCCATAAATTAATCTTCCTGTAACTTTCGGGTCCCCTATGCTGGACGATGGCACAACCATCAAACTACGTGTATTGGTCACTAGATTAAAATGTTGGAGACCCTTAAATTTAGATTATCTGTGGACGTGTGTCATGCAAGGGATCCTTTGCCTCGTGGACCCCCACTTGCATGAGGCCGTCTTCAGGTACGTCCAGGTCTCAGAAGAAGGTGAGGCCGTAAAACAAAGCAGCCAAGTGTGGAGGGTGGGCATACAACGATCGTGCAAAAGCAAGAAATGAGCGTGACCGTCCCAGTCAGGAAGAAGTGAATAAGATGAAATGACCATCATGCCACCGTATGTCCATGCGTTTACTTCTAAAACACATCAGCTCCGCCAAGAGAACAATAGCTTAAGAACACTTCAACATCTGAGGTAAAGATGCAAAGCTTCTCAGGTTGTCCCCGGCTGCCCCCTCGTAAGGCACCCGCTGCCCGGAAGCAAGTCCAACTCATGATTTGTGGAGAGGTCCTCTGATGGATCAATGGATCTGCAGATTCTAGATCTGAAGACAGATCCGGAATGTAGAATCTAAGCTTCAGGAACTCACTCTATTATGCTGGTAAACGATGGTGCACCCTCTACAACTGTGGCTTCTCCTCCAAGATATCCCACACCGTAACTGGCTCCAGCAGCAGCATGGCTTGATCCTGCAAAGGGATCAACATGGGTGAACTGTTTCGAGGCTTCTGTTCTTTGTTCCTAGTAGCGTCCTCTTGTTCCTAGTAGTAAGGCCAGGAG